GCGCATGCTACCAATAAACAGTTGAATTGTAACGAAAAAAAAACACAAAATGAAACATACATCGTTGTGCTATATACATGTAGAAGCGATTTACTGTCAATTTAGTTCAATTGATGGACTCGTTGCGATCAATTGATATGCTCTAGTATAAAATTTAACTTTTCGCAAAAGAGAAAAGAAGCTGAACAAAACAAAACAAAACAACAGAAAATTACACAAACAACCGGCAACATGTTTTTTACTGAAAAAGAATTGCAAACGCAAACACACACACACATCATTGAATGTGGCCAATCCAGAAGGGAACATCAAACATCAAAGTAAGTGTGTGTGTTGAGAGAGTGACTCAATGTGAAATGTGGTACATATACGCGGTCTTTCTCCTTTTCCATCTCGTGGCCAGCGCTGAAGACTAAATTACGCCTTGCAACGTTTGAATGGGATATTTTGGCTTGATCAATCGAGTGCCGAGTCAGTGTGTAAAGGGAGAAAAGTCGATTCTGATCCAGTTAGCGAATGAAAATTACATGCATTGCAAAATTAAGAGCATACACAACATGTTTGCCAATTCAGTTGAGTTGAGTTCAGCGTCGGTATTAATTCCCTTTTTGGATTGCATGTTTTGTTTTCCACGCTCCTCCATCTCCAGTTTTGTCTAAAATACTGGCCTCAACCAACAAGGAGAAATATGTTATTTGCCATGTTTAACAACAGCATCTTATGAAACGTATTATTAACAGACAACATTCAATTTAACCTGTGTGCACTCGTACACTCAATTTCTCTCTCTCTCTCTCTCTCTTGCACGAAACGAATAAACAAACACCCGACTACAAACGATGTAAACAAATCGCAGCCCATGCACTTGAAACATACAGTATTCAGCAAAGTGAAAGACAAAAAAAAATCGCTCGGTAAAAACAACTCTATCTAATGTAGAGTAGTAGTTGTTGTTATTTTTTCCTTGTCTCTGTCTTGTTTGTTGTTATACGGTGCAAAATGACTTGATGGCATCAGTGTGTGATTTATCACAAAATCGCTTCGTTAAAGGTAAACGGCGCCCATCACTACACGGATTTATAAATGTTCTCTGCAATCGTTTTCTATCGACCTGTCTCTCCCTCGCTCTTTCGAATACTATCCGATAAGTAACTACCGAAAACTCCCCAATTTCACACGTACAATCGCATCAATTTCGTATCCTGAACACAGAGCAATCGAAACTAGCATTAATTTCAATTCGAAAACAGTATAGCAGTGAACCATGCTCAATGTATTATCAACAATCATTTCAATTGAAGGCGATGAACTCAATGTATTACATTCACAAATAAACTTCATCTTCCAAAATGACTATGATTTGAAATTCTGTCTAAATAACACGTTTTCGTATCGATCGACGTGTTACATATTCATTATTTATACGGCAGATTGAACGTACACCCGTATTTGCCAAAGCACACAATCTTCGACAAGTGGTGGACAAATAACCGGACTTGGGTTAGTCAAATTAAATTTCTGCTCCAGTGTAAGATACCACAAAATAAAGTATACCGTTGAAAAATCACAATTTAAATCGCATTTATATCGTTAAGTTGGTGAAGCACAATATACATAGTTTTATGAGGTTTTGTTTCAATGGAATATAGTATATATAAATGCTAATTGGGGTTGAATTTTTGTGCAAAATTTTATAAGCTTGCCATGGCCAATATTTGCATTTGTTGAATTTTTCATTGAAAGACCGAAAACAAAATCCACTTTCAAACAATCAAGTACTGTTTTAACCTTTGCTAAAACTTTAATGCAACAGAATGAAAATGATCATATCAGCCTGTTTTTCGAACGAACCATCAATTGTACTATTTCGAATGAAAACTTGTTCATTTTAATATTTAACGAAGTTAAAGCTCCTTTTTTGGGGTCGAACGCTTAACTTTAAAATAAATTCATTGTAGTATATTCATCGCGCGCTGGCTTCGCTGAATGCATTATAAATTCGCTTTTTCTTTTGTATCAACATTGCAACACTTTGAACTTCTATTCAATTTTAATATGATTAGGCTGGAAAATTAATGAAGTCAACGTTTTTCATGAGAACAAGAACAAGAGATGTTAAAGCAAGCGAATAAGTTGAACCAAAGTCTTCTAAAGTTTATTAATAATATGCGCCAACGTTCCGACGCCAAAGATGGTTTATTTATTTTATAAAATAAATAAATAATTTACAATAAATTTTTAAATTCAAAACAGTTTGAAAACATAATAAACCAAAGGAACGTTTTTATTGGTACGTAATTTATTACACTTTGATCCAGCCTTTTTAGTTCATGCATCTAGGTCCTTTTAACTGTAATATTTTGAAATTGTTCTATGGAGTAAATACAGTAAATATTAATTATTTAAATTGAGAAATAATTTTTTTTCAGTAAAAACAACGTTCATCTGGTTGTATCTAAGTTAGAATCCCCCAAACCATACATAAATATCGATATCTAAGAATAACTAATTTTCGCTTGCAAGTAAGTTTCTTACTTTATTGTTGTTTAGCTACGATACAAAATGCATAAGCATTGTTACTTTGACCAAAATATTTGCATGAGTTCGGCAATTCAGAATTACATTGTAAACGATAACTTTGATACACTGTTTAGTAGGTTGAGCAGAAATGCAGTGAGCTTCTTTAATTGGGTCGAATGCACTAAAAGCGAAATGTGAACGGATTGAATATCAAAATATCTGAAATACTTTTTAGAATTGAAAATATTGAGCTAAAATCAAGCAATTTCGTTCCATAAATAATCTCAAAATTTGGATAATCTCAAAAACGTTGTTAGTCCGATTTAAAAGTCTGGACTTTCAGATTTATAATCTCTGAAAACATCAAATACACCACAAATCCAGTTACTTCTTATCATTATGCTATTTTCCATTGCTTTACGAATCACACGAGAGTACATCAGTTTGATACACCTGACGAAATGAACGTATGAAAGTCAAATGCTTTAATTATATGAGCAAAATGGTAAGACTTCGTTAACATGAATTAAAAAAAGCACGCAAAGCAAAAAGAGAACAAGAAAAAACGGCAAACAAAATAAACTTTGTATTCGAAAGCAATTTGGTGGATTTTATATCTACACTGGGAGATTGGATGTACCAGAGCAATTATCGTGTAAAAGAAAAATGTTCCTTCACACAGTTACAAAATCAAACAATGACAATGAATGCAACAAAATAAACGTAACTACAATATTCCAACACCAATTTTCTTTAAAAAAAACGACACACATTTGGCTGTTGTACAAGCATGACGAACTATTTTATTTTGACGTGCGGCAACCAATGAATGGCAGAAACAAAAGAATTTCCAAGCCAGCGCCTGAAAAATCCAAATTTCACACGATTACAAACATACAAAGTCAGACAAAGTGTGTGTGTGTGTGTGTGTGTGTGTGTGTGTGTG